ACAATGCTTTCACAGTTGTAGGCTTCAGCATCGATTTCATCCTCCTTTAACTCAAGGAAAGGTAAAATCATGAGATGTATCCTGTTCCCTATTTCACAATCAAGATGCAACTGAGTGATGTTAAACTAGAGTCTTTCAGAAATTAAACAAAACACATTTCGTTGTTTAATAATTTTGAGATTGTCTCTTTGTAAATAAATTGATTCATCCTTAGATCTAATTAACTCCTTCTCTTTCTGCTCGATCCACATTCTCCTTTCCTCACTCTTTGATGAAATCCTACTGATTTGATCAGTTAGGTTAGCATTTGTGACACGGGTTTGGGTGAGACTGCTACTTATACTTGAAAATTTAGATTTTAAGCTATTTAATTCCTTTTAATAGTTAGTAACAGGTATTTTTAGAGAGACAAGAATATTTTGTACCTTCTTGATCAACTCATCACATTCGTTGATCTGTGCAATGACAGGTTTGGCAGCGAAACACCTGTCCTCTTGCTCCCTTTCATCTTTAACTCCCCCGTCGGTTGTGTATCCTCTCAGTTGAGACACGCCTTCAGTTACCACAAAGCACCTTCCTGTAACACATTCTTCTTTTTCCAGCATAGCCTTCCCATGAGTGGGCTTTCGGACTTCATCGTCCTCGGAATCTGTGGACCAAACTTCCACACTACCGTATCCTGCATAATTAAAGCACTCATTGTAGTATTGTTAGCGGTAGACTTTCTTTTCTTGATTTCCTCCAGTCTTCTCAGGAGGCTCGCTTCCTCATCTTCTTCATTTGTCTTCTCTTCATTCTTTCTCAGCATGCAATCTTTTGCAAAATGATTCTAGCCTCCACAGTAATGGCAATCAAATACTGAGTCTCCTCCAACTTTTGCTTCCTTCTTTGACTCTTCAGACTTTGACCCCATCTTCGGTTCCTACTTGATCTTTTCGGTGATGTAACTACCCTGCCAGTTTCAGTTCTTGTTGGCTGGGAATTTCTTCTTAATAAATTTTCTAGGGTTAGACACCATCAAGGCATATTCATCACTGGCTAGATCATAATTGGCAAGATCCAATTCCTCTTCTTCTTTAATTGAGCTTTTTCCTTTAGAGATAAGAGCTAAAGAACCCAGACTAGAAACCACGTTCGTTTCCTTAGACAGAGCGCTTTCACGAGATTTCAAAATACCTACTAGTTTCGCCAAAGAATATGACTTGAACTGTTCATGAGCTTTAACTGTAGATACAACAGCCATCCATTCGGATCTGAGACCGTTCATAAAAGTAACCTTTTGTTCGATAAACTTAAAAGATGATTGAAACGATCAAAGGCTTGAACAAGTTTCTCTTCAGGCTTCTGCTTAAAGTCTCCAAATTCAGACAGCAAGAGAGTTTGAATTGAATGTTCCAAATATTCATCTGTGGAATGCAATTCTTTTAATCTATCCCAGATCTCTTTAGCCATGGCACAAGAACTTACCAAACGGAACGTATCTGACTGCAACGCAAACCTAATCATCCTCAGGGCTTTTATGTTGCATTGAAACTTCTCCTTCTCGTCTTGAGGAATATCTTTGACGTCGTTAACAAACTGATTGTACTCCTTTTGAGTTTTAACAAGCTTAGAGGTGCTTGAGTGAGCAAATGGGCCAACGGTGATCGCTTCCCAGATCAAGTATCCATTATCCTTCGATCCAATCACATAATCTTCGAAGTGATGCATCCAAACTTCATAGTCTTGTGTATACAAGATTGGTATCCTTATCGTCGAACCAATGTTGTTAGAGATGTTGATTGGATTGGCTTATGAATCTTCCATGGACATTGTAATGACTTTTGATCGATAACCTGTAAAAGATCAGACTTGTAATATATCGTTAGGGTTAGATCAACAATTAATGAGACACGTCAATATGGAATGACGGCTCAATTAATATCAATCAATGCGGAATTAAAAATCCTAATAATTTCTTCGACATAAGAGATGTGTATGAATCACACAGTCTCCTGCTCTGATACCAATTGATGAGAACAAAAACTCTAGATCGATTAGATCTTTCATAGGTATGATTATAGAAATCGAACAAGTCAAAAATAATATGAAAGTAAACACAGGATGGAATCAAATGTATGCATATGATTCAAAATAAAGTCAAGCCTCAGCAGAGCTCGACAAAGAACTTCCGTTGTAGAGGTGAGCTAGGGTTTACAAAACTTAGAGTAAATACAATAATGAAAAGCAATCCTACTAAGACTGCATGCATGCAGCTTATATACTAAACCCTAGTACAAAACATGCATGGTTGGACAAGCCCAATACCGGCAATCAAAATTGGGCTAAGGAACGAGCCCATGACGCAATCTATTAACCCCAATAGTAATTATGTGATAGTTGCAAGGTTGGGCAAGGACACCCTAAATGATAGGGTGGACGAATTCTAAGGATAAGGCCTTAAGAATTCGTCCATAATGGGGTTCGAGAATTATCTTATGGGCTGCTTGGTGGCTAAGTAACCAGATAAGGATAATGACTGAAACCCTAATTCCTACACCTATATAAGAACCCCTTGGGCATGAGAATTTAGCTACACCTAACCCTAGAAGTCTTAGATCCAAATTTCTCATCTCCACTCTCTCTCTTGTTTCATCCAATTACTTTTGTTGTGTGTGATTCATTAGAGGCACACCATTTAAGGTGCTAAAGCTCTCAAGGCTTTAAGGTCTACAATCAACAATCAAGGTAATCATCTAGATCTGTTTTCTTATGTGAATTTCAAATCATGTATGCTATATCTAGGGTTTGGAAGTCTTGGATGAATTGCATGTACAATAGAGAAACCTAGATCCAAGCTTTAGGGTTTGCATGAACATATAGGATGTTATTTTGTGTAAAACCCATCAAAAATAACACTGTACTTTCATTGATTTATTTAATATTTTAATTTTTCATGTTCTTCATAAAATTGGGGCAGAAATGGCATGTGCTGCTGTATTTATGTCTTTTCCACAGCCTACCAACTGATATTGTTGATGTTTTTCTCAGATTCCAAAAGGGAGGGAAGTGGATGACAATGATTACTTCATGTTTAATGATGCATTTACTGCTCCTCTTTATCGTATAAAGGTGAGATCAATTAATTTTTCTTATACAAATATAGAATGTGAACTTCATATGAAATTGGAATGGAATGACTCATTTCATTCCCTTGCGTATTTCATTATTCCATTCCATCCATGTATAGGTGAATGCTATCCAATTGAAAGAAGTTGTGGAAGAAAACACAAGCACCACACAGAGAATATTCCAAGATGGTCAAGATCGTCAACAAGGTGTCCCTTAATAACAATGTAGTATTAGGTGTTATAGTTAGGGAAAACCTCTCAATAACAATGTATAATCAGATCCCCTTAATACCAAGGTATTACATTTTTTTTGACATGATGTTATTGGATGAAATTGATTCTTTTGGTATAGATTTGTTTCCATATTTTTGTATTATGCATAAATGAGTATCGTAAAGACGCGTCGTAAATGTATATCGTAAATGGTTGCTGAAGTTTATGACACACAAATGCACACCATCTTCATTTATGAAAGGGGCTTTAATGATACACAATGTGTGTCCTAAATGCACATCGTAAGGTTACGATACACAAATGCGTGTCGACTTCCTTGGTGACAGGGCCTTCCTTGATACATATTGCGTGTTGTAAATGAGCGTCGTAAATGTGTGTCATAATTGCGTGTTGTTAATAGACGACGCGCAAAAGTGTGTCGTCTTTCGTTATAACAGGGTCTTCCTTAACACGCATTTGCATATCGTCTGAGTGTTTTATGACACACATTGTGTATCGTAAAAGGTTTTTTCTTGTAGTAATGTACAAAAACGGTTGATTTGGTTAAAATTTGAATGACTTACAAAGCCTAGAAGAAAGTGTATCAAATCTTACTTTTCTTGTTTCAGTAACAATTTAACAATGTACTAATTATAGATTTTATTTTGAGAATATAGGGTTATTGAGAAGATTTAAAAGAAGAAGATTATATAGAAGAAACGCTGGCATGGTATGTTACACCAAGTGAAAAATCAGACCAAGAAGAGGAGCCACAAGAACAACCATCAAAAAAAAATTGCAACCTCACAAAAACGAAAACAACCAAAAAACCAACACACACAAAAAAACCATCACTACCAAAAAAGCCAACACAACAAAAATACCCAACAAAACCAAATCCCAAGAACAATAAAATGACTCAAAAGGAGTTAAAGGACTGGATTAACCCAACCAGACGAGGTGAGGGTGGAGATAATTGTACCACTCCTGTTTTGGATTACTTCGAGATAGAAAGGATAAAGGAGGAAGATGGAATTGAAAGAAAGTGGACCGAATATAATTATTGTTTAACATTGCTAACCGCAGATTCAAATCCGGATGGGACAACTTCAATAAACAAGCATTTTAATAACTGCAAGTTAAATCCGGACAACAAACTGAATGAAGATGATGAAAACAACAAAAGTTGTCATTTACAAAAGCTCCTAATGGTGAGGGCCATGTATACAAATAGAAACATAATGATACGAGGATCGAACTTGCCTTACTAGGACTTTTCACCATCAGCGAGCTACCCTTTAAATTCATTGAAAACGAGGCCTTCATAGAATTTGTAAACACCCTCAATGAGAGGGAGAAATTACCTTCAAGGCATATAATTTCTTTTAATGTATCCTTCAATTTAATGGAGAGGAAGAAATTGTACAAACATTTGAGCAACGCCAAAACAACCATCCACTTGACAACCGGCACGTAGACATCCTCATGTCAAAAGATAAATTATATGGTTGTCACGACCTACTTTATTTCGAAGATTTTGTCATGCACAAAAGGGTAGTCAACTTTATAGAGGTTGACACTCACAAAACTAAAGACATTACCCGAGAGTTTCTAATTTGCATAAATGAGTGGGCGTGAAGAATGTCGTGACAATAACCGTTGATAATGCCAAGACGAATGACACGACAATCAACATCATTGGGAATGAACTTTCAGGTATTTACGAGAATGACAAATATTTTCATTTTAGGTGTATGACTCATATCATAAACCTAGTTGTGAAAATTGGGATGAAACACGTAGTTTACCATGTAAAAATCATACAGGATGCGGTGAAACACACCAGAAACTCCCCGCAACGGATCAAGACCTTTAAACAAGCCACGAAGGATGTGGCTGTAGAAACTCAAAGGTTTTTGTGTGCTGAAACTCCAACACGGCGGAACTCTACCTTTGAATTTCTAAGATCAGCATACGATGTGATAGACGCGTTTCTCGAATATAGCTATCAAGGTAAATAACACCAAATCTGTTTCAACACTAAAAATTAGCAATATTTACAAATTTAGCATTATGTCCAAAATTTGAAAGTTTCATAACTCACTCAATTTAAGTTATATTGACATGAATCCTTTTCCTACATGTTTTTTAGGTTTTGTAGATAAGGTTAGACCATAAAAATGTTTTATTTGGTTAAAAATTGAATGAGTTACAAGCCCCACAAGTAAGCATATCAAATCAGATTTATTTTTATTTTTTATTTTTTTTATGTTTCAGCAATTAAACGTGATATCACTTTTTTTGTTCAAATATGCATAACTCACTCAATTTAAGTTGCATCAACCTGGATCTTTTTCCTACGTGTTGTTTAGTTTTTTTTTAGATAAGTTTAGGCTATAAAAATGTTTGATTTGGTTACAAATTAAATGATTACAAGACCCGCAAGGAAGCATATCAAATCGTAATTTTTTTTATGTTTGAGCAATTAAACGTAATATGACTTTTTTGTTCAAATGTGTATAACTCACTCAATTTAAGTTTTATTGACGTAAATCTTTTTCCAACATGTTGTTTAGGTTTTTTTTAGATAAGTTTAGACTATAGAAATGCGTGATTTCGTTACAAATTGAATGAATTACAAGCCCCGCAAGAAAGCATATCAAATAAGAATTTTTTTTATGTTTCAACAATTTAACATAATGACTTTTTTGCTCAAATGTGCATAACTTACTCAATTTAAATTGTATCGAACTGAATCATGTTCCTACATGTTTTTTATTTTCTGTAGATAAGTTTAGACTATAAAAATGCTTGATTTGGTTAAAAATTAAATGAGTTACAAGTCCCGCGAGGAAGCTTATCAAATCAGAATTTTTTTTATGTTTCAGCAGTTACATTTGATATGATTTTTTTGTTCAAATGTGTGTAACTCACTCATTTTAATTTGTATTGGCCTGATTCTTTTTCCTACATGTTTTTTTAGGTTTTGTAGAAAAAAATTTTACTATAAAAACGCTTGATTTTGTTAAAAACTAAATGAGTTACATGTCTTGAAATATAGCAAACTAATTTTTTTGGCACCAACATACATGAAACTTTGAATGTATTTTCTATGTTCTTTTTTATAGATCCAATGTTTCAGAAAAGTTTACAAAGGATACCATCGCATTCAAACTTTGAGATGATTAAAAAGTTGATGGATTTCCTTGAGAAGTTTAAGAATAAAAGCGAAAAAGTTTCATTCTCAATAAAGCCTATCTTCCATACGCATATCTAGGAGATCCTAGACATACACCAACATCTTGGGAAACATGAAACTAACTCGTATTTTTTGTTTATGCTTTCGGAGATGAAAGAAAAATATGAAAAATATTGAGGTGACTATGACAATATAAGTGATTATGTCTTCTTTGCGATATTGTTAGATCCTCAATGGAAGTCAAAGTTTATGAAAATTGTTTTTACCCAAATTCTTAAAGCGAAGAACAAAGATAATAAGATGTTCGTTGATGAGATAGAGTCGAAACCACATGCAAATGTTATTGATATTGAATGCAAATTGGACAAGTTTATCAAGACATACATGGAAAGACCAAACATGACCTCATCATCTCAACAAGAAACTCCCAAAGAAGTTAATTTTGAAGACGAAAACAAATTATTTGGAAGCTATATGACCTCGGGAAGTGTCCCCTCGACTTCATTGAAAAGTCAATTGCAACGATACTTAAAAAAAGACCCAATTAGATTTGACAAAGGATATGATATCCTCACATGGTGGAAAAATAACGCGATGCGCTATCCGATCATTGCTCGAATGGCAAGAGGTATCAACCTTATTTTACTTCAATTTTTATATTTATTTTATAAGTTCATGTCATGTATTATACACAAATTTTTTTTCTTAATAGATATTTTGGGGATGAAAATTTCCACCGTAGCATCTGAATCCACATTAGTAATGGTCGTTGAGTAATTACTGACTACCGTACTAATTTGTCCTTTGTGATTGTGGAGGCGTTGATATGCACTGCAAATTGGCTAAGAAAGAGTAGCTTGTCTATATATGACCATGACAAAGTGCATGATGTTTTAGCTGACGATGACCTCACTATTGGTAATACATTGATACTTGTTACATTTTACTTTTAACGTCTTATTAGTAATTGTTATATTTTATTAAGTAATAACGTTTTTCTTTTGTATTATATATAGACATTATGGATGCTATATACAACTTGAAGCTAACGGGGAAGAGATTAGGGAATTAGTCAAAATGTCAAATAGATGTTGGAATCCACATATTAGACTTTGTTTTTTTTTTTTTTGTTGGGGAAACTTGAAAGTATATTTTGAATGTTAAAAGTATATTTTTAATGTTGAATGTTTGAATGTTGGATAGTTAATGATGGTGCAATTTTTGTTTGAAAGAGAGAAACTGACTTATTTTTATAATATCAAACTTGTAGTTTTCTATATATTGTCTAGCAATCGCTTGTTTATATAGATTATATTCATAAATCAGTGCATGTTCCTAAAATAATAACACATCCAACACTTGACAAGGTTTCAAGACCCTCAAGAACCAGCAAAACCCGAAACTGTAACCAAAATATGTCTCAAAATACATTGCTATTTCTCGAGGACCAACTACAACATCGAAGACCCAACAAAACCGGAACTGGTAGAACCGGCAATCCGGTTCGGTTCTTAAATTCGTCCAACTTCAGTTCCCAAGTCAGGTCCAGTTCGGGTCAGTTCCATCCGGGTCGGTTCCTTTGCTCATCCCTATACTTCTTTATGGTTTTTTTTAAACATTTTATTTCGAAAAAAACAAAAATTTTAAAAATGATGAAAGAAATTAAAATTAAATATTTATTTATATTTTTCGAAACTTTTTAGTTCAAAATAAATAAAAAATAATCTTCCATGTCGAATACTTTAACAACATTTTCATATAATATTACTCATATATATATATATATATATATATATATATATATATATATATATATATATGCATACATACATAGAGAGAGAGAGAGAGAGAGAGAGAGTTGGATTAAGGATTTCAGAATGACAATCAACACTTGGATATTACTTGGATTGTGATTATATCACTTTCTGAGGTATGTAATTTCCCCTTATAGGCTGGTGTTACAAGAATTCAGTAGTGAGATAATCCAAGAAATTTGATTTGGATTACAGGCTTAATCCAAAATCATAAAACACAAAATACCTCATGATGTTTTCTGTTCTAGAGAGAAAGACAATTGATAGTGATCGATTTTGTTTTTATGAAGTATCAACCCTTTTCCGGTTACATTCACATTCCATTTCTATAGGGAAGAAAAGTGGTTCAATGTTGGTTTCACCACATTGTTGCCAAATAAAGGTAGTTATTAGACATAACCACCGTATAGGCTCTACCCCTTGGATCCCACAAGGTGTGGACCATAATGTGATGGAGGATGAGCTCAAAACCCTAGATCCCAGGTATTGAGCCCTATATAATGATGGTAGCGTTTAGGGTTTCTCTCTTGAGATCATCATTTTCGGATCGAGGAGTGAGAATAACAAGAATGGTTAGTCGGGATTAATTGTTTGGTGATATATATATATATATATATATTAAAACAATATAATATTGTGGGTTGGAACCCCTATATGCTCATCAAACTACCAAGTCTGGCCCATTCAGTTTCTTTGTATCACATGTACCAGTACAATTTTACATGGATAGTGATGTTTGAATCTGTTTAGAGATTTAAAGAGTTTAGTCCATTAGTACAATAAGTTGTTGTATGGCCTATAATGACTATGTTTATGTTATTGTTTCTTGTATTAGTTATGACATCCCAAATTTTTAATAATCAATGAACATATTTCTTTGGAAATGCCTTTATCTCACATTTTATAATGGGATAAATTCCACATTTATAAAGAATACTCTATTTTAAAATAAGCATAAAGGAAAAGGGTAATTTTTTATCCATAAAAATTGGGGTTATCCCAGTTGGTATCTGAACATCTTAAACTTATAATTCTAAGAGGTGGTTGTGAGGTGTGTGTGTCTTTTATTGTAGGTAGTATACCTAAATTGACACAAGCATTAACTTACTTAAGATAACTGCCTAAATTGTTATGTGCTAAATGATTTATAATATAGCATTATTTAGGTTACTTACCTATAATGCTATTACTTGTGTAGATTGAAGGTCTATTTCTAACCTTGATTTGGAAATTTTATGTGTTTAGGATTTTAAACGTATAATTAATGTATTAGAACTGACATATAACTTTTAAGAGTAATAAAGAGAATTATGTGTCTAAACATAACTAAAACCTTCCTTATCCTAATATACTCGAGTTTCCATTACATTGAACAATTTCTCTGGTGTATAGAACATCATGGTGAGAATATGCAGGAGACTAGGAAATGATAATGGAAATCAACATCCTGAACCTTGATGTGTGATTGAGTGTGCACCAGAGGTTTTACTAGCAGATGAACTAATCACAATAGCAGGAGTTCAAGCCATGATTTGCGTAATGCTAGCTGAGAAATGGAGGATACCAGACAGTTGCTCCACGGGAATAGGAGAGAAATCACTACACTGATTGTTGAATCGATGTTAAATGAAGGTCAGTCTAAAGAAGGAATTTATAGTAGAAGGAACAACCCTGACAAAAGGATTGAAGGAACGAATACAAGTATAAGGACTTTACAACTTGCAAACCATTGAATTTTAATGGGAAACAAGATCTAGTTGGAGTCATGGATTAGATTTATGTGATGGAGTAAGCTTTTATAACATGTGGTTGCAAACAGACCACTTATGATGTACGTCAGTTTTAGGGGCGGGGTTCTTCGTTGGTGGAACATGTTAGGCTAGACCATAAGCCCTAATGAGCCACTACATCTGACATATGTAAAGTTCTTGGTACATTTCAAACATAACTTCTGCTTAGCCCAAAACCTGCTAGAACTGGAAAACCAATTTCTGACACTAAAGAAGGGCAACATGTCTATTGATGATTATACCAATGTCTTCACATACAAGATGGAGTTTTTTTTACGCCTTGTACTCAACGAGCTAACAAAAGTCGAAAAGTATGTGAAGGGAATACCGTGGGAGTACTTTGTTCCAGTACGTCAGAAACATACTCTTGTGACGGCCAGTTGGGTTGCCAAATACATCGAAGATATGAACAAGGAGAGGACCAATGACAAGGATGAAGTTGGCGAGAAGAGGAAGAGTGAAAGATTCTCGAAATCTAATTAAAAGGGTAGATTACAAAAGTCTAATCCTAATAACAAGAATCCGGATGGACATAACGAGGCGAAATGGTGTGACACGTGCAGAAGGAAGCATGTTGGGAAATTCACTAAAGAAGTGACATGCTTCAAGTGTGGGAAGACTGGTTACTATGCTAATGAATGCATGACCAAGAAGGAAATCTGCTTTAAGTGTGGTGAAGAAGGACATTTCAAGCAAGATTGTGCAAAGGGGAGAGGATTTACAAAGCCAAATGTGAATCCAAAACCAAACGTACGAGCATTCTAAATGACCCTTGGGGCAACAAAAGATAAAGCAGATATTGCTTCAAGAAGTCCATAGAAGGAAGTTTCTTATTTGGAGTTAACGACATGAGGTGCTTATCCTATATAGATAGTATTATAGTATGGTGAACTTTGAAGATTATTGTAATCAATTTCAGAAGCTGTACAATCCCTAATTATGTTATATTGTTTGTAACACCTGCAGATCCGGGCTAGTCAATTTAGAGACAATAATCATCAAAAATGAGTTTTTTATGGAAAATTATTTAGAAGGATTAATCTTAAACAAGTTGTAGTATATGTTACAAGGGTTCAATACATATAAAGAACGCTGAAATCCGAGTTATAACGAAGAAGTTAGGACCCGTCGAAGTTTTTTGGCAAAACCGGCACTACACCGGGAGACGTAAATATTGAATTTATAATAGAGGAATTTTTAGCCTTAGTAATCTAAACAAAATTCGTAGAATATAGTAAAGTGAGAGCGTCCATAAAAAGAACGCCAATATCTGACTTCGTATGACGAAGTTATGAATTTTCTAACATTTGGCATAACAATGCACGGCCCGAAACTCGAATTTTAGTTCGAGCGGTTTTTGGCCTACGCGACCTAAATGAGAGTTGAAGATCTCATTAATAGAAAATCAACGGTAAAAAACAAGACGAAAACGGAGTCCGTATGTAGAAGTTATGAATTTTACGCGGACATTTAACAATATAATCTCCTCCTACTGTTAAATTTAAGATCGATCGAGAATTAGCCGACAGAGTCAAAATGAAAGTTTTAGATCGTGTTTTTACCTACGCACAGATATAAATAATGTTGAGATTAGAGCTCGTATGTTAAATATATGGACGAAACTTGGTCCATACTTTTCGACCACGATAAATTCGATACAGTTTTGTAAATCTGAGATAGAATGGGAATTAGCTGAAGACATCTAAATGAAAGTTGTAGTACTCGTAAATATCATCGCGTGCATATAATGAACGTCAAAAATGGAGTTCGTATGAACGAGTTACAAATTATAATAGCATATTTATGTATTAAAATAAAGTATAAATCATATATACATATATATATATATATATATATATATATATATATATATATATATATACACACACACACACACAAATGTATATATCATTAGAAAGGTATTGACGATGCCATTATTTATAAGGGGAGAATTTCATATATGCCCCTCTTAAACTTCAAAATATCATATTTGTCCAGCTTAATTTCTCAATATCATATTTACCATTCATAAACCTTCAAAATATCATATTTGCCCAAATCCTTTTTTATAATGTTTTTAATATTTTATAATAATTTTTTATACCTTAGAATTATTACAATAATTAAGAAAATTAACCATATTATCCTTACGTATATTATAATGGAATGTGAACTTCTAAATTGTTGGAATGTCGGCCTCTTGATAGACAAAAAGATTCATCTTCAACCCTTTCTATGGAATGTATATTTTAGATTGTTTTGTTTTTGTTGTTGTTGATTATTATTATGTTCTAGATGAAGGATATTTTAAATATTACCATTAATATTTTGATGTTTAAAAAGTGCATATA